ATTCGACTCGCGAACGTCCGAGATTTATGGAAATTTTTAAATTATCTTCAATTACAGCAAAATGTTCCATTATCGACACGCTATTGCTTTTAATTAAAAAGATGGATCCCTAGGTACGATTCGCGAACGCCAAGTTTCATATTTTTCATTTACATTTTCATCCAAGTTCGCACGATGGGATGAATAAATTTTATCAATAAATTATGTTAGCGTGTTTATTCGTAAAATGTCTTCATTTCTATTTCTTTTCGAATGACGGCAAACGATGCTTCCGGACATTTATCGGCATTTTCTGTGCCAATAAATCTACAATTGAGCATGATGAAAAAGGAAACGGAGGGAGCGAAGAATTCTCGGTAAAATTAATTGCGTTCGGTGTTTATTAGTTCGTCGCTCTTTGAGATGAATAGAATCCTCGATAACGAGATTCCCGGAATAACCTGGATTTAATGTCGTGATACATTTATTAAACGAGATGTTTGACTTATTGGAATAATAATTTGTATCAAGCTTCGACTCTCTCCTAGATTATGCGTTGCAAATGAGCGACGTTTATAGCGTCAGCGTCCAGCGTTTCGATACCGCGAGCAGTTCCGGGCTATTCCTTGTTATAATCGGATTAAACTGAACTGGCTATCGAGGGTCACTTCGCTACGTGTCCGGCCATTGGAAATGATTCCAACCTCGAGAACCTTATCTAAAAGGACACGTTTCACATTTCGAAGCCACGGACGGCAATAATTGTAAGAATCTCGAGCGGTATCTTCAAAAATCCAATGCAGGAATACGCTCCAGCCAAAATCAATGCTCGCGCGTGCATTTCCTCAGCGATCTAACCCTCTACTCCCTAGAACGAGAACCTATTTGCCTACGCGAAAGTGTCTCGAGCAAGACCAGGATCGGGCGGAATCTCATTTAGTTTCGATTTTCGCTTCCGACTCGGAAGAGAGGAAGGGAGAGAAATCATCGATTATACGAGGCGACGTGCCGATCGCAGTTAAAGCGACACCGTGTTTCTAATGTAAACGTAGCTCGACGTCTCGAAATTACTTACATCCCCCCTCTATCCCAAGGCCTTCTCCTTTGTCGATCTTGGTAAACATTGGCTTGTTTGACCGAAGGAAAAGTTGTCGAGCGACACCAGACTCGTCAACGGCCGCGACACGGGCTAAAGAATACGGGCGCGAAGGGTGGTGAATGCCGACGAGTTCCTCGAGTTTCTTTTATTTCCAACCCCCTTCTTTGCCCGGCTTTATTCCACCCCTCCTCTCGCCGCCATTCTCTTTCTTTTTTTTTGTTCATTGCAACGAGGAGTATTGTCCACTCGCGAACTTTTCGAGCTCTCGTGCTTTCGGTCCAGAGGAGCCCGACAAAAAGGAGGACAGAGGAGGGACGAGATTGATTGTGAGTCCGCCAGGCACGGTTCTCTCGCTTTCGCTGCCTTCTGACCCTTTCTTCGCCTCTTCTCGTCGCTTCCCGTGGCTCGATGAATTTCTAATAACGTTTAACAGCTCGGCGACAGAGTTTTCGCGCGATAGCTGTCGAGCATCGACAAGCTATCCTATCCTAACCTAACGATTAGGCTAACTATCGACTAAAAAGTAGCTCGATCGTTTACTACGTTAATTGGCACATCAAGGAATTCAGTAGGAGTGATGAAGGAAGTCTGCGAAAACTTAGACGAACGTAAGCAAGGGTTCTGCAGACTTGAATTTTAAAAGAATGTTTCATGAATTGTTAAGGATGTTTACTAGTTTGAAGTTCCGTCGACCTCGTTTAACCCACATCGGGGAGTTTGTCGAAAGTTGGCGCTGACCAGGTAGGTTAGGTCAACGTTCACGTACGTGTCGTTAAGAATTCAGAAAAGGGAGTTGTTCTTGGTATTTAACGCAAATGAAACGACGGAACTAACGGATATCATTTACGTGTTTTGTATGAGGTGCGAAAGCTTCGATCTGTCTCGCACACTATTTCCTCCACCTGAAAGTTATTTTTCACCTAGACGAATGTCTGCAACCTCTGAATCCCCATTCTCCTCGAAGATAGCATGCGTGAGTAATTCAACCAGATATATTTCGATCTCCTACCCTCTTTACCAAGGTAAAAGGTTCATATTTTCAGCTTTGCTATCACGTTTCTCGTATTTGCATGTCTCTTTTTCCTTTCTACATGTTTGCGCGTTCAATATGCATGCATCTAGAAACGCGTATCTTATCCAGGCTTTACTTCTCCTCTATTATTAAATATTAATAGTGCTTATGGTACCACGGATGACGAGAATCCTCGCAGGAGAAATAGGATACGTAAGAAGATTCTCCGTAGCAGCCTTGCATTGTCTCTGCACGTTTCTGCTGTTTTCCACGGCACGTCGCGAAATACGGAAACATTAGAAAACCGTTATTATTATTATTAAAAAAAAAAAAAAAAAAAAGTTTACTTTTACGTCCATTACTGACATTATCCAAACAAATATACCAGTGAAATCGAGAGAGTGGATTTTGGAAGTGAATATTACAGAATATATGGCTAACGTACGCAGAATATATCTATGTGCTTATGCAAAATGAAATGTTAATATAATTGCATCAATTTATGAACGATATTCTGCATATGTTGCGCATACGTTTCCCATATTCGCGTGCGTTTTAAATGCATAAGCTACCTCAAGACCGATGAATAATGTATGCTTTATACAAAATTGTGGTTTCCGTGTTTTTCGGAGGAATTTTTATGAAGGAACGTAAAATAAAGGTCGAAAAAAAGTACGTTTGTCGAATGTTCTGCAGTGTAACGAGAGAGTTCATTGTTTCGTCGTTGAACTCGTTTCTCGCGTCTTTGAGAGAGGTGAAAGGATACGAATAAGGGACGCGAACGATCCTTTCCCCACTCGAATGCGCAGTCGATGAATTTGCACCGGCACTCTGAGAAATTTTAAGAGATCCACTCGACGATCCTAACCGTCGACGTTCGCGATCGCTATTTCCGCGGGAAGAAACGAGACGAACGAAGAGCCGCCCTTATCTTGATTCCCCGCAGAGCGGTTTGATTTCAGATTGGACCAAGGTATTCCCAATTTTCCAGCGTGGATCGATGTGCCCCGTTCCCGACAATTTAGCGTCCCCTTGTCGCATCAGCAAATTAGATTACCTCGAGGAGACTTCTGGTGCTTGGTTTTTTTTCTCTTTTGTCCGTTGCTTCATCCTGGACGATTTCCTTTATTTGCTTCACGCTACGAGGATCACCGAAACGGACGTGACGCTTCGGATCGGTGGAAAATTAACGCGCTGTTGGCTTCCTCCGGCAAGCCGAAGAGAAAATCTTTCGACACGATGATAAATTGAAGCCAGAGATTTCCTTAAAAATATGATACATCGAACGAGGAGTCAGAGTATGGAAACTGATAGAATTTCGGAAATTCTCTTACTCGTGCGTACACAGAAAATTATTGAAATTTATCGGGCTTGGAGAGTTAAGTAAGCTGTTTAAAAATGTGAGTACATTTCAAACACAATCCTTCAAATGATCGCGACACGATTCGTTCCCGATAGACCCTCGATAGACCTTTCACGTTTTCACGACGACTGATATTGGGGACCGAATGAAGTTATCATTCAGACCGGAATAAGGGGTCAATAGTCTGTGACTGGTAATATTACAGACGTAATTTCCTCTTTACGTTTCCCCCGGCAAACTCGCAGAGATTCCCCGCGCCTGGGACGGAAGGGGATTTTCAAGAAGATGAGAAGATAACGTAAATTTACTGTCCGGTTGTTTTCGATTCTCTCGGCTATCCTTGCGGGATTTAACTTCGTTTCAATAAACGCAACGAGTTTCGTTGCAGGCTCGTGGTTTATCAAGGCGGACGAATAATCCTTCGTTTACCGGAGAATTCAACCTCCGCCCACCTTCCATTGCTTTTATGCCTTTGAGTGAAAAGTGGAGAAACAGTCGGGACTTTATGAAGTAACGTGGAGCTTTTCCTCGAAACTTTCCTTATCGCATCCCCGTGCGGAATTGTGAACCTCGCATTCGTTATCGGTAATCCCTGGTGCTTTCTTACGTCGCTATCAGAAAAGTCCGAATGGCAATGAAATAGATAGGGGCATTAAATATGAAAAGTTGAAAAGAACTTTCAATTTATGTAGATCTAGTGGAATGGAACAAAGGAGAGCGCGCCGAGCGTCGTTAGGCTTGCTATCGAAGCGATTCCGAATTTCGGATCCATACTGGACCACAATTTTGAATTTTCTGCTGAAAGTATATATGTGTAATCGCGAACTAAGTTTAAGCCTTGACATCTGCTGCGTCTGAACTTCTGTGGCGCAAGAGCAGATAGTTTTAGATACGACCGTAGCGATGGTAGATAATGTTAGAAGGCATCAGTAGAAGTGTACGGAGATAAGTCAGTCGTGCGGGTGTAAACTGCAACAACTGTTAACTGCATCGGTTGTAAACTTCGCTCGTAATAAAAGGCATATATACTAGAAACTTCGCGCTATAGATAATACCGCGGTCTGAATGTGTTTCCACATTGCCACTGACAACGGATAACCGTACGACGATGCAAGTAGAAACGTATCGCATAAGTTGAACACAATCGCTCATCGACTGTCCCCTGCCCCTAATGAATTCCTATTTCTTCTTTTCTAATTCGTGGTAATTCTGGTGACAAAATCCACGATTTTTAACCATGAAACGTACACGTTTTTTTCGCAATGGTATCCACTGGATGGCTGTCTTAAGAATACGCGCGCGAAACGTAATTTTCTATGGTCGTTCGCCATCTCTGCCGGCGGCCAGACTCATTCGAAGGAAGAAAGGGTGATGATTCGCACGGTAGACTGGGGAACGGCGAAATTTACCACGGGACTCATTTCGGTCCACGGAATAAATGGACACTTGTCAGCGATGGATGTAAGCTTGTGGGAAAAGACGCGGTTCTCGAGGTTTATCGTCGAGACAAACAGAGCGATTAAAACTGAAATAAACGCTTCACTTACCGGCCTTGAGCGCGATTCATAAAGCTTTCTAAATGTTCATCCCGTGCCGTTAGACGTGCCAGACATGAGAAATAATCCGTGGGATTTCCCTTCGCTCTCTTTGGCGCTTTCGTCTTCGTTGGGAATTAAGTGTCCTTTTAGGATCTGCGCGACTCGAGTCTCAGCCCGAAGTTTTCCGCAGCTGCAACATAATAAAATGGACCTGTTATTCGAGCAAGTCGAGAAGTGATGTTTGTAATTAGAGCAAGTTGCGGACTGACACGATTAAAAGTAGGAGTTTTGTAAGATTTCATAAAGATGAAATTTACATTTTTGTCTGGAATCAGAGCGACACGCGCAGATTTTTTCAGGAAGAACAATGAATAGCGCGATCTTTCGCAGCAGTGTCATCCGTTAAAGCAAAGACACTTCAGATTTAATCCGATCGCGATGTGTCGGATATCGCGAGGCGTCACCTCGAGAGCAAAGTTATACTTTTTCTCCCCTTGTGTACTTAATCAATATTGATGTTGGATCAAGCTACAATTCGGTCGACGCATTCTCCTCGCCTTATATCGGATATTGGAGGAAGTGTCAGGTTAAGCTTAGTTTACGACGGCGAGTAAAAGCAGAAAATGACACGGATGCTATCGAAAGGCAGAACACCGAAGACAGCGATCGTAATAAGTCGATAGGCATAATTTACATAGAAAAATACACGTAAGACTCTTTCGGAGATTTACGTTAACCTTGACATTTTCTCTGCGTTTCTAGAATAATTAATCTATTAGTAATAAAATCGAGTAACAAAATCTAAGGATGCTAAAAAATTCCAACGTCCACGGGAACGTATCCGCAGAGCTAGAAATTTTTGGAAACAGCGTAGATAGCGTTTTTTACCGTGAAATCAGCGCGCCATTCGAGAACCTTCGTTTCTGGTAAATAAAAGGTACGATTATTGCCACACGTTTATCGCGAAGCACCCCTGAGAGCCATTCGGCCAGCAGTTAAGTGTGTATCACCTATTATAGTCCTGCAACCTAAATTTCTATGTATATAGCTCGAGGTACACCAGCAATTCTATTACACGCACGCGGCCCAATTATTATCGTATCGATTCAGCATCAAATCGCGTTCGAATGCCTCTTTCGTTCTGCGTCGGGAATCGACGACAATCGATATAATTATACGGCCCTCGTATCTTCCTTCCCAGACGAATTAATTATCAATCGATGTTTCAGCAGCTTCGACCGAGTATTAGTTGGAAAGGCGTCCTTCGCGACAGCGTGCTTCAAAGCTCCGAATTAAAACATTTTCGCGTATTTCGGGATTTCTACTCGCCACTCCGCCAACTCTCGAGAGTTTTAATAATGTAAGTCGAGTCGACAAATTTCCTGGTGTTACACCAAACGCAAAAATTACCACGAAAGTATTCTGGACCACTTGACCGATCGCGAAAATCGATCACGAGCCTCGTCTTCATATCCCATCCCTCTCCCGCCCGATAAAAACTTTCTCAACGACTCTATCCCGCCCTGCGTTCTACTTCACGTCTTCCCTCTCCCTTTGTTCTTCTACAATATCTTTTATACCACGACCTCGTTTCCTCGAAGAGCTCGTAGCCACGGTGAACAGGGAGAGCTCCGAGTGAACAGCTGAAACATTAAATTCTAAATGAAAAGGCAGTGCGAGCAGGACTTCGGACTTTCAGGTCGCGAAGACGGAGAGGAAAAAAAAAAAGGGAACGAAGGATCGTGGAAAAGACGAAAAAGAAGGGAAGGTGTAAAAGCGAACCTGTAAAACGTGGACGAAATCTCTCGGTTGATTCATGGCGATTCCGAGGAAAAAAAAAAATATTCGCAAAATACTCGGCCGAATCTGCAGGTTTTTTCGATGTTCGACGCAAACAGAGTTCGCGAAGCAGCGCATAGTTCCGCATAAAAACTTGCTGACCTTCTCAATGTTCGCTCGAGCACACGAGTAAAATATCACTTCGGATAATTGTTGGATTTTGCCATTTTTACATTACGAAATTATAATCACCGTACTAAAATGTAGAGATACCGAGTATTAAACAAGGTACCCAAGACAAATATTTAAAATGTAAAGTATACTTTTAAAATGTATAAATCTAGAATTCAAGATACGAGGTGTATTACCCTTTTGCCTTCCGTGAGTAAATCCGTAAGATTTTACTCTTCTTTATTGAAATTTTAAATATATCTGTGAGTATAATTATTAAAAATTAAATTGCGAATTTAATTCGGTACAGAAGCTTTTCCCACCACTGATTAATTCAGCAGTGAGAAGGTTAAAAATAGGTTGCGTTGGAAACGACGAGAGGTAAAGTGATACGGATGCGAGTCACGATGGACCGGCGTGGGCTAAAAGAGAGGCAAAGGACACTCGATGTTTCGTTTCAGTTCTCTTTTTCCTAATGGAGTCTGATTGAAACTTGATCGCTGTACAGGCTCGCTACGCGTCGTCGATTATGGTTTTCTGTTCGAATGGTAACAAAATATACCCATAATACGATGGATAAAGTTGGTAAATGACGAACCTCTCGTTTTTCACCCCGAGACCAACTTTCCCTCCACGAATTTCAAACTTTGCGGAACCACCTATATATTTGTTCTATATCGTGCTCCTGTATTATTGAGTTACACGCAATGCATACAGAAAATGTTACTTTTCTCGCCCGAGAACTTTTCTATTGATAACAGGTGAAACTAACAACTTGTCGACATAAGTTTCTGCATCCCCGTATTGCTTTTCTCGATTGCATGCTGTGGATGTGCTCGGCGTATGAACGAGCTTCTCTAAGACTCTTCCACGAAACAGAATCGTTCCACTCCGCGATGATATTACAGGTTATTTCCTTGGTGGCCATGGAAAACAATGGAAGTATATGAGAAACCGCTCGGATTAGAAAGTGTACCTTTGGCGTGCTAAAGATACGTAGGGACTTAATCGATCAGTGGACGAAGAATTTATTTTTAGAAAATGAATCCTTCTTGTGATGCGCCAAGAAAAATTCCAGGCAGTTTGAAATCGGTCATGTCTTCTGGCCGTGCCGTCGGCGTCGGGGAGGAAACCAAAGGGGTTGGGTTATACGATCGAAGGAAAACCGATGATACAAGTGGACCGAGGTGCCGTCTAGGCACCTAAGACGATAAATCATGCGGTTACGGCATGCCCATGTGAATACGCGTATGCATGAGTTACGCTTGCGGTTATGCGTGTGAGTATGTGTTGCTACACAACCTGACCTGTGAAAACGTAGATACTGTCGCGTGCAATTGAGTGTGTATACCGGGTGATCTGTAACCGGTTGGTATATTGGATCGTAGTTGATGCTCTCGTTATTATCCTAAGACATACAGAGTATACGTCTGGTGGAGTGGGCGTTACCTCGACCATGGGTATTAGGAAGTCCCGCAAGATATCGACCGTTTGCGAAATATTATTTTGCCAAGTTGCAATTGTTTGTGGTGGCAAGTGTCTATGGCGTTTCCTGCTGCAATCAGGTTCCTCGAAAAAGAATTGCATTTAAAGGAAGCGATATTGTACTTTTCCAACGCCACACTTCAGAAAACGTGCCTTGTGAAATTAAAACCCATTGAACCATGGAACGTTCTCCGTTGCTTCCCTCCTTTGCCTTCGATCAAAAGAGAAATATAACTCTCGTCCTAGTCCCGCGACTCGCTCTCTGTACCATAAAAGTTTATCGCACAGCACGCATTTGCTTGGCAATCGCGTACCAGATTTTTCTCGGATATTTCCAGCTTTCCGGGCGTGTAACTTCGAGCTTGTCCGTGCGAATAAAACGAAAGATGATAAAATATCGGGCAGCGTGAGTTCGAGTCGAGCGTAAACCTGTCTTTCCTATCCTGCTCGTCTCAGCATTCGCCAGGCGAGCTACGATGTAAAAAGGAGCGCCAGCAAATTGTCTGCAACTTGTAACACCCCTTTAACCCCTCGCCCATGCGACTGGCTGCTTCCATTGATCCTGCACCAATTAAAACACCGATACTGCGACCGTGTATCGCGCTGTGTGCATCGTTAACCCTTAATCGAAAACATTAATCGCGGGAAATTTGTCCATAAGATCCCTTTGAAACTTTTTAAATTTTGCCATACTTGGTTGCTTTATCTTGTGCTTCGCGTTAAAGTTGTCTACTTCGTTATTGCATTCGATGTCAAATTAATTACGTCCCGGGTAATATTCTGTAACGATAACCACGTTGCGCCATCAGCGCTGCGGCCGCTTCGATGACAAGGATTGATATTCATAGTATATAATGCAAGCTTTGTAACGTTATATTTCGAAAATTATCGAGCTATTACATTTAATATTTCACACATAGCAGCAGAAGCCCCTGCAATGGGATGATTAAACTGAAAGCGAGGGCCAAGTTCAGTGCTCCCTCGTAACTCACGTAAGACGAATAGGTTCTCCATTGGCCAGACGTATAAGAGTAAAACAACAGGTCGGAATAGAAGAATAAGCTTCGTTCCTAGACGAGAGGTATGAGAACATTTTTCGCCGGACAGGTGGAACGAGTATCATCGTTGAACGAACAAGTGAAGTAGCTGCTGTCTTTGGTCAGACAAGTGGAATCAAAACCGTCCGATTTGAGACGCACGGAGAAAGAAAGGAGCCTGGCTGGACGAGTAGAAAACAAATATCATAGAATCAACGCAGCCGGACAGCGTACAAAGATAAATCTATACGGACGATCAGAGGATCATGAATGAGATTCTGCTCTGTTTCGCGAAACGTTCTTTCCAACTGTCGCGAAACCTCCTGGAATTCCTTTCGCAACACTGCGTAATAACGATCAACTCGACACTCCCGCGGAATACTAAACCTTGCTGTAACTTTTCAAGCACCCGGTGCATGAATGGGGCCAGTTCGATAGCGGGCTGCATTGTTTTCGAATTCCCATTATAAGGGCGTTCCGATTCTGGCGAGTGGCCGGCACCTTTGTCGTCGACACCAGAGCGAACTTTCGAGCCGAGCTTTTCCGTCGAGACACCGCGCCGCGAGAACGGCGTAAGAGTAAAGGGTGGTCGTGCCTCTGGGAGGGGTGGTTTGTTATGCTACCCAACGATGCACATCGAAGGGATTATAATTGCGCGCACGGCGAGACTGCGATCGTATTTCCCACGTCGACGTCGCTGCGAATTATCGAATTACAC